ACTTCAGGCGCTACGTATGGTATTATGCCAAACACTTCATCATCCATAATTTCGGTAGTTTTTCTACATCGTCCAAAGTCTGTTATTAATAAATGTAAACCGCACAAAATGCTGCCACTATGTAAATTCCGATGAATGTATTGACGACCATGTAAAGGTTGTAATCCAATAGTTAAATCAAGTAAGTGATCACATAAATATCGATAGAAGATATTCCCATTTCTAATTAGATCGTATACTGAACTGTCTTCATTAAAACGAAGGATTAGAATATAATTTCCCGTTTTGAATCTCTAGAAATTCCAAGTACTCTCGCCATATTACTAAAGTGGTTATTGATGACGGCAGATTGAATCTATATAAATACATAATCGTATTTAAATAATTTAATTTTAATTTAATTGATTCAAAGTCAATATTCACTTACTTCTTGAATTGCATTATTTGAATTGAATAACATCTTTAATGCAACAAGACTTGACCCCGCTCGAACTAATTTTCTTTGATTTTTATTGAACTAATTATATAACCCGAATTCCAACTTGATTTTGATACACTGCCAAAACATCCCTCAGCAATTAATTCTATCTTATCGAATTCTTCATATTCAACCCATTCGAAGAAAATTGAAGATGAGCTTCTTTAATATTATCATCAATTTTTTTATCTTTGCTTGTTCATGGAGGCAGTTCCTTAAACTAGGCAGTGTTACAAGAGTAGCACCATGCAAGGTTAGTCCTAAATTTTCCGCAATGAACAATAATGAAAAGAAAAAAAAGAATTTGGTAAATTAAAGAATATTGAGACAGAATTTAATGCTGAGAATCCACAAATTTATACTATTAAAATAGAAAATATTTACCGTATCGGTTGGGTGTGCTGCTTTTCTAATCTTTCTCGAATTCAAAGTGACCAATAATTGGGGATTTGGAAAACGCAGGCCCCTATGAATTTATAGTACATAAGCACAGAATGTGTATCTTTCGAAAGGTCTTATTTGTATGGTTATGTATGGAATAAGCATAATATGGTGGTTACGGTATGACATATATACTTAGGATAATGAGTGTTAAACTAGCAAATAATCCCATATCCATTAATATAGGTCATATAAGAAACGCAGCACAAAAATTTTACGAAAAAAATTTCTACCTTGTTTCTAAACTCATTTTAAAGCTAATAACCTAGAAAAAGTATATTAATGCTGTCATTCTAAAAAAATTAAGTGATCTATAT